CGGCACTGTTCTAAGGATTTTACGTAGAGTGATTCACTCAATCCTTATAGCAACCCCGTGAAGTAGTTACTATTATGAAGTTGAGACACAGAGAGGTAAAATATCTTGCCCATGGTCACCCCAGATAGTAATGGGGAAATGGGGTGTGAATCCCCGCAGCCTGGCTCCAGAACGAGGTACTATCTCCTTGCTACACTGCCCCTCGTCCTCTTTTGGGGGTGGGTGAGAAAGTACAGATAATCAAAGTACACCATGTGGCTCAGCTGAGTAATCCTCACATGATCATAATCCTGGAAAATTCAGATACTGATTTAATAAGTTACTACATGGAGAAAGACAAATATTGTATGATCTCACATATAAGTGAGAATCTAGAACAAAAATCCCAAGCTTGTAGACAAGGCGACCAGGTCTGTGGTTGGCAGAGACCAGGGTTGAGGTTGGGGGAATTGGAGGGACGAGTTCAAAGGGGACAAACTCCTAGTTGTAAGTGCTGAGGACACGATGTACAGTGTGGTGACCAGGGCAGTTAGCAATGCCATATGGGGGGGACGCCTAGGTGGCTCAGCGGTTGAGCGCCTGCCTTTGGCTCAGGGCATGTTCCCAGAGTCCCAGGATCGAGTCCCACATCGGGCTCCCTGCAAGGAGCCTGCTTCTCCTCTGCCCGTGTCTCTGCCTCTCTGTGTCTCTCAGGAATGAATAAATAAAATTAAAAAAAAAAAACAAAAAACAACCAATGTCATATGGTTTATTTGAGAGTTGCTACAGGATTAGATCCTACAACTTCTCTCTACAAGGAGAAAATCTTTTATGTATTTCTATAAGGTGAAGAACGTTAACTGAATTTACTGTGGTGATCATTTCCCACTATCTACGGACGTCAGGTCATGACGCCATGCACCTTAGACCTACCTGGTGTTGTATATCAGATACATCACTAAAACTGGGGAAAAGTTGCTGTAATCATTTTGGTATGTGTGAAGTGTGTGTGTGTGACTACAGTCAGAGTCTCATCTCACACAGAACAAGAGAGCACAGTAGACAATATCGCAAATTAAAAATCCAAGCTAGATTCGTCTCCACCTAGCACATGGAAGGTACTTGATAAATGTCTGTGGATGAATAAATGGACAGTGTTCCAAGTCTCCATTTCAAATCTTCATGTATACGTTTACTTAGCATTGTAATAGGAAGACCAGAAAAATAGCTTTTATCCATCTCTGCCATGCCACGTGTGTTATGAAGAAATGTCTATGATACAGCTTAAGTAAAAAGCAGCAAGTTGCAGATCAGTGCGATACTACAATTCTGGTCGTTGAGGGAATAGACTATACACATGCGCGTGCATGCATTGACAGACATCCAGGAGTATACAGGGGGAAGAAAATGTTTGCACGGATGGACCAAGTGGGGAAGGAGGCTGGGAAGAGGGAAATATTCTACATGATAAGTATTTTTTAAAAGATTTTATTTATTTATTCATGAGAGACACACAGGGAAAGAGAGAGAGGCAGAGACACAGGCAGAGGGAGAAGCGGGCTCCTTGCAGGGAGCCCGATGTGGGACTCGATCTGGGGTCTCCAGGATCAGGCCCTGGGCCAAAGGCAGGCACTAAACCACTGAGCCACCCAGGGATCCCCCATGATAAGGATTTTTAAATTTTTTGCAATGAGTATTTGTTATTTTTAACAATAAAAAATGCAAGATTTAGGGGATCCCTGGGTGGCGCAGTGGTTTAGCGCCGGTCTTTGGCCCAGGGTGCGATCCTGGAGACCCGGGATCGAATCCCACGTCAGGCTCCCGGTGCATGGAGCCTGCTTCTCCCTCTGCCTGTGTCTCTGCCTCTCTCTCTCTCTCTCTCTCTGTGACTGTCATAAATAAATAAACAAATAAAATAAAAAAAAATGCAAGATTTAAAATTTGTTTAGATTTCTCACCACATACACACACACACACACACACACACACACACACACACACACACAAAATGATTCAGATCATGTCATGTCCCTGCTCAAAACCCTGCAATGGTTTCCCATTGTTTGTAGGCTAAAACCCAAACTCCTGCCATGTCTTTGGGCCTGTGTGATCTGTCCTCGGCAGACCCCTCTGGCTTCTCTCTGTTCTCCACTCACGCCCCATGCACCGGCCACCCAGGCCCTCCGTCAGGGTCAGCACTGCTTTGCACTTGCTGCTCTCTACCTAGAACATCTTTCCCCTTTTCATGCATGTTCCTTCTCTGCACTGAGACTTCGCCTCCGCCACCACCTCCTCAGAGGCCTTCCCTGACAACACAAGTGGAAGTGCCCCCTACGTAGGCGCTCTGCATTACGTTACTTCACCTTTTATAGGGCTTCTTATTGCGTGTCTACTTATTTGACTGGTTACCACCACCTCTTCCCACACTGGAATGTAAATTCTGTCTGACTCGCTTATCATGGAACCTCCAGTGCCTAGGACAGTGTCTGGCACACAGCTTACAATCCGAAGCTATTTGGCAGATGGACAAGTGAGGGATGAGTGGACATGTGGAGAGACGATAAGTGTTGGAAGGATGAGTGGGTGGCTTTGAGGGTGGGTGGTTGCATGGGTGGGTGGCTGGTTGACTGTCACCTGTGGATCTGTCACAGAGTCCTCTGTGTTCCTCCCACTCTCCCGACTTCCTCTCCCCTGCCTGGGGCATATAGTAAACCTAATATACTGTGTCCTGAAAGCTCACTCAGGACCTCACACATTTCGTGTATTACCTCAGGGAATCGCCACAACTCTACTAGGTAAGTGTTTCCATGCTCTCATTTCCATATATGAGGGACCAAAGGCTCTGAGAGGTTAAGTCACTTGCTCTAAGGTCACACACTGGTGAGTGATGAAACCAGGACCAGCCCCAGGTCCAGCGCCAGTGCCTTCTTAGTAAGTTTCAACCACCTGGCAATGCAGACCCAGAGGACATGCAGGAACTGGCAGGGGTGGGGGGAGATGTGGGGTGTGGGGTGAAGACTCTTGAGTCTTCAGACAAGAAGTATTAGGAAAAGACAAAACAGAGCACCTGGGTGGCTGCCTTCCACTCAGGTCATGATCCCGGGGTCCTGGGATCCAGCCTGGCATTGGGCTCCCTGCTCAGCAGGGACTCTACTTCTCCCTCTGCTCCTCCCCTACCCCTCAAATAAATAAATAAAATCTTAAGAAAGAAAGGAAAAGAAAAGAAAAAAGGACAGAACAGATGCACAAATCAGCACCAGTGCCCAGACTGGCAATGATGGGAGCAGGCTGTGGGGAGTAGGGACAGGACACCTAGGGACTCTAGGCAAGTCTCCGAAGGAATTGGGGTGTGACCAGAACAGGGTGCTCAGAGGTCTAATCAGGTGTCATTCCTAGAGCCCCAGCCAGGATACAAGGGACCTGCCTGGGCACTGGGCCAAGGAAGTGCAGGCTTTCTCCAAAGGGCTCACTCCATCAGCCCCAGCCACCAGAAACAACTGGTTTCTAGATGTGCTCACACCCCCTCATATTACAGGAGGGGAAACTGAGGCTGCAACAGACCCAAAGGAAATGCCCTCGAACCCAGTGAAACTGAGAAGAGGTTAGGCCAGAGGGGAAAGAGTCCCTCGGCAGGCGCAGGCGTTGCTGAGTGTGCGGGCAGTGGGCTGTCCTGCTGCCTGGAGCCACCAGGGGGAGCCGGTCTTCAGGGTCAAAGGGACCTTCTCAGGTCCTGAACTGCTAGGTGCCAGGGTCACCAGGGGCTGGTCTTTAGGTCAGGGAGGCTTGCCCTTGATACCGGCTGGGGGAGCTGGGGAGGGAAGTGGATGGGGGAAGCTTTCTCCTTAAATTGTCCAGCTTTCCCACAGAGAGGATGCATGGCTTGCAGAATCATAAATATGCTTTGAAGGGTGAAAACAAAGATATTTAACACCCCCTGAGCCCTGGGATCCTGAAAGAGGTCTGTGTGTCCCCACATTCAGACTTAAGGCTCAGTCACCACCCACTCCCTAGACAAGGCTTCCAGGTCTCTGTAGTAGCTGCCAGGTGTTTGTTCCCAGTGCATCTGTGCCCTCTGTGGCAGGCTGTCCATGTGCCTGAAGAATGGAGCTACAGGTGTGGCCGGGCCCCAGGTGTGGCCTCGCCGTGAGAAACGTTCTGCTTCCAGCCTGCCTCTCTCTCTGGGGCCACAGACACCCCAGTGTGTGGCGTGCCCAGATTTCAGCACTCCAGGAGAACCCTCCAAGGAAGGCCTATTAACTAGGCCTTATCGCTTGGGCTCAGGGGTGTCCTGTCACTATAGCAAGATCCCCTTTGGGTGGCCTGTCAGGGTGCCCTGCCCAGGTTCCAGGCACCCAATGCCTGTCCGTGTCTATCCTGAATTTGCTCCAGGGTGGAGGCTGGGCCTTGGGATGAGCAGTGAGACTCACGGAAGGAACCCCTGGCTCATACTCCATCCTCACTCCCACTTCAGCTCGATGAGGGGGCCCTCTGAGCCTTTCCCTTAGTGAGCAGTTCTTAGGGCTGATTCTGTCCCCCAGGACACGTTTGGCAATGTGTGGAGACCTTTCTGGTTGTGGAGACTGGTGGTACTTCTGGTGTCTAATGGGTAGAAGCCAGGGACACTGCCAGATATCCTACACTGTACAGGGCAGGCCCCTCCAACAAAGAAATGCTCCAGCCCCTCATGTCCATGGAGGTTGAGAACACAACAGGGAGCAGGGGCTACACCAGCGTGAACCATACAGTAAGGGGGTGACGGCACCAGAGAGGAAGAATTGGGGGCTTGGGGAGCAGGAGAGGAAAAAGCCGGACCTGGAGCAGATAGACTGAGTGCCACTGACCAGCGGCATGACCTTGTACAAGTCGCTTAGCTCCCTGAGCCTCCGCTTCCTCGTTTATGAAAAGCCACAAGGACTGGACGAGAAGATAAATGTGGACGGAGCTAACCTCGGGCCCTGGCACACCAAAGATGCTCAATCAGTGCGGGCGGGGGTGTGGGGCCCCGAGGGCCGCGTACTCACCGCTGTGGCTCTCTCCATCACTGCTGAGATAGGGGTAGTATTCGTGCGTTTGGCGCTGGTACAGGTCTGTGTCATAGGGAACCAGGTCTTCCGATGGCTGCTGAGAGACCAGGCTGTCAGGGCTCGGATGGCAGCGGGACAGCTCAGACAGGTGGCAGCCCTGGTGTGCCGCGGCCACCACCACCACCTCCCCCACCCTGCTCCTGGGCACAGCACCAGGGCCCCTTCCCGCTTGGAACCTGGGGAGACCACGGTGGGGACAGGGGACCTAGGAGGACTGGAGTCTTGCTGCTGCAGAAAGGGGCTGACGGGGACTCCAAAGGTCAGAGGTCAAAAGAGGACCTGGGCTGAGAGGAGGGCCCCAGGCCTCCCCCTCCCCCCTGCACAGCTGCTCCTCAAACCACACTCACACGCACACTGGCACCCACAGGGCCCCACCTTGCACAAGCACTCTCTCACGATCACGCTGACACACCTACACCTCCAGACCACAGACGCTCCCCGTGACACCCAAACCCCCACACATGAACTAGCACCCAATGGTCTGCCTTCACATGCTCTACAGGCCCCTCGCATTCACACTCACCATCGCACACTCACACCATAGGCACACGCAGCCACTTGAGTTTACACAGGTATCCTCACACTTGCCTTCCAGCACCTTACAGCAGGCTCCAGCTCATGCCCATTGTGGTCACTCACATCCTGCCCGCACACCCATTGTCATTGCGTACACGCTGCTCCTCCTGCCACAGTCCCCACTGCCTGTGCCCGGGCCTAGGTACCCGTGGCCACTCACACTCATGGCTCCTCAGTGTTCACCACGCGGGCCTGACCAGCCAGAGCCCTGGCCCCCTCCCTCTCCCTCCTCCCTCCTCCCTCTGACGCACCCACTAGGATACCCCTTCTCCTCCTCCCTTCCCTCCTGCCCTCACTCCTCATTCTTCCTCCCCACTCCTCCCCATCCTCCTTCTCCCCTCTCCCCATTCCTCCTCCTCTCTCCTCCACTCCCCTCCTCCTCCTCACTCCTCCCTCTCCCCTCCTCCCTCCTCACTCCTCCCTGTCCTCCTCTCCCTTCCCCCCCTACTCTCTCACTCTTCCTGTCCTCTTCTCTCCCCTCCCCCCCCCACTCCTCCTTGTACTGGTGCAGGCACAGGGACACACACACCCATTCTTCACAAGAGTCATCAGGCCTCCTTCCACCCCCACAGTGTGTGCCCAGGGATTGCACAACAATTACTCCAGCCCTTGGGACTTGGGTGGGAGGCTGAGATGTCTTGGGAGCCCACCTTCCCAGGAGTACGCAGAGTAGCCCCTAAGGGGTTTGGTGTAGCCACCCAAGGAGATGTGCCTCCTGCTCAGGTGTGTTTGGGGAGATTGGGGGATTGAGAGGTCAAGGGTCAGAGACAGTGTGGTCAAGCTTCTGGACCTGTGGTTTTCCTGAGGCAAACCTGGCTCTTCCTGGGACCCTCTCTGTCTCCCCACTGCCTGCCCTCCACTACCTTCTTGGTGGTGGATGGGGGAGTGGGGTTGGGGCCGGGTGCCAGCTACAGCTGGCTGTCTGTGTCTGGCCAGTAAGAAGGCCAGGAACCCAGCCCCTGGATTCCAGACAGCACAGCCCAACAGCAGGATGTCAGGGCTGGGGTGCCTCCCGGGGCTCTGAGGCCTGGCTGGGGTGAGGCGGGGGCAGGGAGCTGCCTCTGGGCCGGGAAAGCTGAGTCAGGTGGGCAGGCCCTGCCAAGCCCTTCCCGGCTCCCCAGGGCTCCCCAGCCCTGGGCCCTGCTGAGCGGGAAGGTGGAAAGAGAGAGGGGTCCCCCTCTGTGGGGCCCAGGTCTGCACCTGCCCAAGGCTGCAATTGTCACGGAGAGCACAAGCAGTGGGGACTGGCCCCCGCCTGCTGCCCTTCCCCTCCAGGGGTCCCCTGGGACTCCTGCCGCCTCACCTCCAGTCCCAGCCCTGTCCCACCCTCAGCCCCTGCCCTCACTGCAGCCTCTGCTCTGCTGGGTCCTACCCCAGACAGCCCGCTCCAGCACCTGCCTGGTCTCCCTGCTCCCTGGCCAGTGCCCCAACCCAACTGCCGTCCCAGTCTCCGCTCCACTCCCCACTGCCGCCCAGCCCCTGGGGACCTGCCAGCCCGAGGCCCAGACCCCGGGTCAACAGCCATGTCCCCTGGGCCAGGCCCCAGAGCGGGCACTGGGGACCCAGACACAAACCAGCCTCAGTCTCCAGGAGCATCCAGGCCTCGGGCCAGAGACCTCTGGCCTATCGCCTCCTGCCCTCACGCCTCTACTGTTCTGGGGACCGGCTTCCCCTCGCACCAGGCTCCCCATCTCCTCCTCCGCCATCTCTCTGCCACCGCCCTCACCATCCCCAGCCCGGCACCCTGCCCAGGAGCTCCACCAACCCGCCACCCAAGCCCCATCTATAAATAACCGTTCAGGCCCCACCGATCACAGCCCCACCGTGGGCCCAGCCCTCGGCCGCCAGGGCCTGCTCCGAAGAAGCCAACGGCCCCTCGCGGGGTCTCGGGCCAGGAGCTCCAGGGAGGAAACACCAGCTTCCCACAGATAGGGAGCCGGGGGGCGGCCGGCCGGCTGCTGGGCTGCTGGGCAGGCGGACGGGCGGCTGTGGGCCGCGCGGGTCAGGATGGCAGAGGAGCCCCGGTACTCACAGGGGGGACGAGGGGAAACCCTTCCATTTTGCACGCCTGTAACATCCAGCCGAGCTCCGAGCCGGTCAGGTCCCCCGCCTCGGTGGGGGCCAGTGCGGAGCCCCTCAGGATGGGGCGCCCCGTCGGGGGCTGGACGAACTCGGGGCGGGCGCAGGGCTCGGGCCTGCCCCCTGAGCTACAGGAGCCCTGGGTGAGCCCCCTCCCTTGACATTGCAGGGCCAGCGCAAGTTCCTGATTTTATCGAAGGGCCTGCCACTGGGAGATAGTCCCCTTGGGGTGACATCACCGCCCCAGCCCGTTTGCATAAATCTCTTGCGCTACAGGAAGTCTCAGGCTGGGCTGGGGCAGGTGGTGCTTCAGGGCCTGGCCTGAGAGACCATGGGGGCCAGACCCCCTGCCCAGAGGAAGCTGGAGCTCTGAGGGGCGGTCTTGGAGGCTGGGGTGAGGAGAAAGAGGAGGAGGGAGGAAGGCTAGCTCGACCACAGGGAGGCCAGTGCTGCCCCCAGGCCCTGCTGAGGCCCCCTAACTCCTAACCCCACTAATACCCACTGCTTTTGAGATTCCCATGTGGCCAACAGTCTCTTGCTTGGGGCCAAAACTGGTAGGGGTGGCTTCTTGGGGCCTTCACTTTTGGGGGTCAGCCTGAGTGGTGTGATCTACCAGAGTGTCAGGCCTGGCTCTTCTGGAATCTGGGTCTCCAGCTCTTATATTCTATCTGCCTTGGGGCTGCGCTCCAGGACAGGGTCCTCAGCGCAGTGCTACTTTCCCCCTCCCTGACTCCTTCATACCAGCTTCCCTTCCACCAGAGGAGGCTCCTGGGTTCTTACAACCTCCCCTCCCAGTTTTCTGAGTACCCCCACTTCTTCCAAATCTCTAGGGGCTCTATTCCCAACCCAGATTTCTCAGTTTCCCCACCCCTACCAATACCTGAATATCAATTTAGTCTTCCTAGTTTAAAAACCTTTCTTGTTGGCCCATCCATTCATTTTCCTACCCATTTTTTTTATCCATCCATCTTTTCACCCATCAAGCCAACCATACATTCGTTTATTAGTTCATTTAGCTGTGCATTTGTTCATCCATTTATCTGCTGGTCCATCCCATACATCCACTCACCTGTTTATTTACTTGTCCATCTAGCCATTGAAATACTCATATATTAGCTCATCCATCTGTTATTAATCCATTTATATTTTCATCTGTTTGTCCACTGTATATGCAGCTCTCAATCTGTTCATCCACCTATTCATCCATCCACCCATCTGTCCACTTATTCATGCATTCACACATCTATCCATTCATCCATTTATCCAACCACCTATCCGTTGACCCAACCATCCTTCCATCCATCCATCCATCCATCCATCCATCCATCCATCCACTCATCTATCTGTCTATGCATCCTGCCAATATTAACTGACCTCCAGGCTCTATGCCAAGTGATGGGAAAATAGAAGTTTCAGACAAGATCCCTACCTTCAGAGACCTCCTGATCTAGTCTGGAAGACAGAAGGATGAACAGAGACAGTTTTGATCCATTGATCCCCAGTGAGTCCACTGCACTGGAGAAGAATTTTTTGAGCATTCAGTTTCTTCCCATATGTAGTCCAACTCTTTATTTTCTACCCTCTTCCCACTAAGACTAGCCTGCCTCCTTCCTATCAGTGGAATCTCAGGCCCCCAAGAGTTTCTTTCCTCACTGGCAGCAAAGACTAGGGATTCACAAGGTCTGGGTTCACTATTAGATCTATTTCACTTCCATCTTCACTGATTTTTTGAATCTGTACTTGGGACTCTCCAAGGGGTCAAGGTCACAAGTCCTCAGGACTCCCTACGAACCTGACCAAGGCCCCTCCCCAAGAGTAAGGGAGAGGCTGCCGACTGGGCATCAGTTTCATCCCTGTTCCTCACTTCCCCATCAAGAAGGCCATGTCCTAGCTGACTGCATGTGTGTGGGGTGGGTTTACTCCATAAGAACAGGTCCTGCATGATGTCTTCATTCATTCATTCATTCATTCATTCATTCATTCCTGTCTTGCTTTGGTTTGTTTATATGCATATTTATCTATTAATTCATTTTTTAAATCACTAACTTTTTATGTGCAGGGCCTGGTAAGGGGGCACAAATGTGAATATGGCAGTCCTGGACCCCTGGGAGTTCCCAGACCTGCAAGGGAAACACACATGTAAACAGATAACATGGTCTTTGAGGAGGTGAGGGAACAAGAGAGAGGTGCTAAGTGCACTGGGGAACAATTAATTCGGTCAGGTCCATAGGTAGGAAAACATGCCAGGAAAAGGGAACATCCAGCTGAGGAACCAGCCTGAGCAAAGGCAAGAAGATGGAAAAGAACAAGGGAACAGTGAGGCCCCATCCTCTGGCAAGAAACAAGACAAGATAAGCAAAGAGCCTTGAGTGTCAGCCCAAGGAAACTGGGTTGCATCCAGGGACAGATGCAGAACCTGTGCTGGTTGGAAGCAGGGAGTGTGGCCCTCAGCTCCACGAGGCAGACTGCATACCCTGTCAGCTATGTGTTCCTCAGGCCTAAGTCTTAAGGCCCCCCAGGAGAAGAAAGAGATTCCATTATCCCAAGCCCAAGGGGCCCAGACACGGAAGCCCGAAAAGGATCCAGGGCCACCAAGCTTTAAAAAAAGGCCAGAATAACTCCACTGTCTGTGCAGTGAACACCAATACGTGTGTCCATTCACACACCAGCAAGCCCTCCCTACCCTTCCTTCCACTTCATCTCCTCCCAAAATGCACCAGGGGCCTCCTCCCTTCCTCACAACCCCAGGGACCACTGTTATTCAAAACCATTGGATTAGTAGCACCCAGATTCTAAGCAATTCAGAACAGCAGAAAGGGTCTGATAATCCAACGCCTGGAGGCTAAGAGTTCCTAAAGGGAAGGGAGGGGGCAATGCTTTTCTAAGTGCCCAGCACTGTGCTGGGCGCTTCCTCCCATGTGATCTCACGTAACCAAGACAACCATCTGTTAAACTGAGGCCCAAGAGGCCAGTGACTTGCCCAGGGTCAAGCGTGTGAGTGGAGGGATGGGGCATCAGTTCTGCCTTTGGGGTCCTTATGGGGAGGGAAGGAAGCAGAAGGAAGAAGGAAAAAGACTGAGAAGCCAAGAAGCCAAGCGCAGAAAGGGCAAGGAGGATGGGGGCGGGAGTGGGAGGAGGATTGGAGAGGAAGAGAAACAGAAAGAGAAAAAAAAAAAAAAATGGGAGAAAGAGTCAAAGAAGGGAGCAGAGGTGAGATAAGAAAGAACAAGCAAGCCTGGGGAAAGAGGAGGGCAAAGGGGAGGGAGAGCTGAGACTGGACAGCCTCCTCCTTCTTCAGTGGAAGAAGGGGGACAGAGAGGGTCCAGCAGGTACCTCATTCAGTAAGAAGTGGATTTGAAACAAAATATCTTGGGGGCTCCAGGGAATGAGAGGCAAAAAACCATTTTTTGAAGTTATTTTATTTTTTTGAAGAAGTAACATACGCACATGGTAGAGAACTCGAAGGTACAGAAAGGGACACGGCTGCCCAGTTCCCCTTCCAAAGGCTACCCTCCCTGTTACCTGATGCTTGTGCATTTTTCTAGATAGTCTGAGCAGACACAAAAATAAAGGCAGCTATATTATTTTTTAAATTTTACACGGAATTTTAAACACATTCCACCTCTCTCTGGTTTTATTTTTCCCTTAAATCCATTCCATGCTCAGACATAGAGAGTTACCTTTGTTCTTTTTAATGACTGTGTAGTATTTCACTATTTGAATGGATTGTGGTTTTTTTTTTTTTAAGTAAGCTCTGTGCTGAACATGGGGCTTGAACTCACAACCACGAGATCGAGAGTCACATGCTCCACAGACTAAGCCAGCCAGGTGCCCCTCGACAGTGATATTTATAAATCATGAGAGACCTCATTCATATAAAAGAGTGCTCAAAATATTTCTGTATAGTTTAAGGAGTAATTATAAAGCTAACACTTGGGACTCCTGGGTGTCTCAGTTCATTAAGCATCTGACACTTGAACTCAGCTCAGGTCTTGATCTTAGGGTTGTGAGTTCAAGCCCCACATCAGGCTCTGAGTGTGGAGCCTATTTTTTAAAAAAGCTAAAGCTTATGTACCCACCATCCAGGTCAAGAAGTAAAACATCTCCAACACTCCAGAAACATCCCTCAAATGTCCTCTTACAGATCTCTCCCTCTGTAGAAATAACATTGTCCTAAATTTTTCGGTCATTATTTCCTCACTTTCTTTATAGTTTTACCACTTTTTTAAAAAAATATTTTTATTTATTTATGATAGTCACAGAGAGAGAGAGAGGCAGAGACACAGGCAGAGGGAGAAGCAGGCTCCATGCACCGGGAGCCTGACGTGGGATTCGATCCCGGGTCTCCAGGATCGCGCCCTGGGCCAAAGGCAGGCACCAAACCGCTGCGCCACCCAGGGATCCGTTTTACCACTTTTGTAAACATCTTTATAGTTTATTTTTTTATTGTAACACATTTTAATCTCAAATAAAAAGAAACAGGTAAATATTCTTTAGGGTGCTACTTCTTTTTCCCATCATCTAGTTGCATGTAGCTGTGGTTCATTTCCATTATGCATAGTTATCCTGTTGTTTAAAAATGTATTTATTTAAACAGTCTCATGGAAGGACATTCAGGTTGTTTCCAGTCTTTTGCTATTACAAATCATAACACAATCAATAAAATTTGCTAGTTTACACATATGCAAGCTAGGTCTAGGATAAATTCACCAAAGATTGAAAAGATGGCTCAAAGGTACTTTTTTTTTTTTCCAGAGAAACTAGAGGAGAATATAGGGAAGGTTTGAATTACATGTTTCCTGGGCTGGATGGACTTGTACCACTGGCTCAGGATGTCTGCTCTCATGCTTTTAAGTGTGCTTGTCTCTAAAAAAAGCACCTTTGACGATGAATAACAAAACATATTTTTCTGCCTCAGATGAAAACAATGTAGGAGAAAGACCTACTGTGGAAGTAAATGTTTGAAGGGAAATTAAAATGCTATAAATTCTCCTTTTCCTATATTTAATTTGTCAAGGTTAATGTTGACAGTTAAGAGATTGGTACTAGAGGGGCACCGGGTGGCTCAGTAGGTTACGTGTCTGACTTTGGCACGGGTCATGATCTTGGGGTCCTGGGATAGAGCTCCATGTCAGGCTCCCTGCTCAGTAAGGAGCCTGCTTCTCCCTCT